CGGGCTTTGGAGTTGGGCTTGCAGCAGTGGCATCGCCAGCAACAGCAAGTGAGGAGGAGGAGGAGAAAGAGGGGTAAAGGAGGAGGGAGCGGAGTGGCAAGGGCGGGAGTCAGGGATAAGAACCTCGATGTGTCGCGAGAACATGCAGAAACTGCTGGTATTCACAGCACTTTCTTGCGCACAACTCTTGAGGTTTTGATCCCATCCACAAGCATAGCCGGAAGGGAAGGCGGTGGCTCCTGCTCCTGCTGCTGCTGCTGCTGCTTTGTGCTTTGCAGTCCGTGCATTCACAGCCCCCCCATGGACATGAATGACCTGGAATGGGCAGGATAAAGCTGTTGGAATGCCAGCGAGACTGTACACGACCCTTCTTAACCAAAGCACCGCAATCCTGTAACGAATGGTTGCAACACCTCCTTACGCTTTTGAAACCCTTAAGTCCGAAACCACAGGCTCTGAATCCTGGGTGACACCTCGATCCCCCGCTTTCGCTTCTCATCTGCCCGCCGCGAGGCGATCCTGCATGAAACTGTCCCAGGACCGGTGCATGATTGTAGGCATGGCGATAACAACAAAATGATGAGCGAAACTAAAAACAAACTTCATATTCTTGGCTGTCAAGAAGGTACAACATGACTCTCGGCCTATAAGCAGTCTGTGGACTGCAAGGTACGGATGCTTTGAAACACTCGCTTGCCCCTTCCTACGGATGTTTCAGACCTCGCGATCAAGCCCAGACTAGAAAGTTCGGCACCGCTGGAACCCTTCTCATGCGTTGGACCTGAGGCGGCGCAGTAGGTGCGGCAAATACGAAATGTCAAATTGCGGGCTTGAACTGCATAGGGAGACCGAGGCTGAAAATCACCACCGATGGTGACTCTAAGAAAACGTGGGAGCCATCGCCGCAGCCCATGTTCTTTTTGGAACGTAGATACTCAGTTGGTCAGATCTTCGGCGGCTAGAATCCCGATGCTACGCAGACGCGAACAGTCCAAGTTTCAAGTTTGGCCCCGGGTTCTGCTATGCGGCTTCTTCATATTCCTTGGAGCTTTGTTATGGCAGTTGCTCTCCTGAAAAGAACCTGAAAGGACCCTCACTCAGGGTGGTGACGTGACAGAGCAAAAATGGCCGCCAGCCGAACCTGTGGTCAACCACAGCTAAGCCCATCGCTACAATGTAGCAAAAGCTGGTTCTATGGTTTCGTAGACCTTGGGTCTACATGTCAAGTCGTTCGATACCCACATAACTTTACTGATCCACCAGAAAAGCAAGCCTAGCGCATGCGAATCAAAAAACATGTCTTTCTTGCTGTCATAGTAGAATTAGACTGGAACAACATGAAGTCAAAGTCCCCGAAGCCTACTGTGAAGCTGAGGTCCAGGACCGTGAAGCACCAGAGCCTGAGACCTGTCAGTCCTCGTCTCGACCCGGGAAGCCGCAAAGCGTTTGATGGTCGGTCTCTGCTGAAGCTCGTCCTGAGAGCAGCCCTCTGCGGATTGAATTGTCTGAGGTGAAGGGGGTTTAGAACTCACTTCCTTTACAAAGCCGAAATTGAGGATCGAAGGCTCTTGGCTTGAGGGCACAGTGTGGATCTCCTTCGTGCGAGTGAGTAGTCGCATTTTCCATTTTTCGCGATGCACATTATCACTTTGATCCTGGCACGCTGTATCCTTCAAGCCTACACCTTACGCCTTCGGGCTTCCATCCTAAAGCTCCTGACGATTTTGAGTCTGTGCGCACTAACGGTTTTCCATTGCTAGCATGGGATCATCTCACGTCACTGTATAGCATTGAAGTAGGATATTTGGCTCCGGAAGGCACTGGAAGGTCTGGACGGGGCGTTTTTGGCACCAAGGCAGAGCGACTGCCTGCATCGATTGCGGATTCAGCATGTGTCTTCCCCCTTGTGGCGCATACTGAACTTGCACAGTCCAATCTGCCCAATCTACTGTGAAGGATAATAGTCGTGGCGGGTAAGTCAGAGCACGTCTGCTTCTTTGCGTAGAGCCAGCCGATGTGCGACAAAGAGTCGATCGTCGCACAGCTGTCCGTGAGTCACGCTGCTGGTGCAAATTCACATGCGGGTTGTCATCTTTGCTTGCATTCTGCGCTTACTAGAAGCGACGCTTGCGCTTTGCCCTCGCGCATTTCTTGCCCCAGATTGTGCTGGTAGGGTATTCGAAATAATAAGCTCCGAAGAACAAGAAGATAACCTGACCTTTGCACAAGAGCTTGCGTCGCCCTTGGGCGAGCTTGCGTTCACCCCCCACATGGCATGGACATCACCCAAGGTAGTTGCAGGTTCACATCACAAGCCTCAATGCTCATGTTGTGATAAGCGAGCCCTATCATCAAGACATATCACGCTCCCCCCTCTGAATTCGGAATTTGTAGGATCCGCAACGACAACACTGCATCTGAACACATTGATGCGATTATGTGCGGCAGGATTGCAGTACAGCGCCCCTCTTCTAATTGAAGGCAATGACGGGGGGCTGCTCAGAAATCAATCTTTGTAGACACACATAGCCGCGTCTTTCGCAGTGTCAAACGCCAATTGAAAACTCTGACCGAAAAAGTCGGCGCAATTTTCCCCACAGACTTCACCCAGATTTTTTGCGCAGCTGCCCCTCTCGAAGAGCAACACCGCAAGAGAGCGAACATGGCCGGGCCAATTCGACATTTGGTGATTCGTTAACGTCTCCTGCCAGAAACATTTGCTCAGATATCAAAAGCTTTCCCGCTCTACCGCTTGTCCAACACGTGAGCGCGAGAAGCAAATTGCTGTACAACTTTGCTACTGGAACATGGCAAGGCAGGTTAGGCTGACCTTCTTCTTGCAGTTGGAGCATCGCATGGCTGCGTTGCTCACTGTGAAAGGCAGCTCTGGGAGCTGCTTGGCCATCAACGATGTTCTTTCAAATATTTTGGTGGACACAAACTTTCATTTCACTCCAGCTTCGCTTGGCAGGAGATGTATGGGAAGTTGTCACGACCGGTTAAGGCCTGCATGGGCCCGTGAGTCGTAGAGAGCAAGTCCAGATTTTTTTTTGAGATAGCAGAGAGAACCTGCTCGTCGCAGTTCACAACCTGCCTCGCTCTCGCATGGCTCCAATGCGAAAATACCCGACACGCAAGATTCCCTAAACCCGGAACCATCTCAACTCCTCCAGTCCAAGCTGACGCCAGGCTTTCGCTGTAAAAATCTCAGGTTTGGGCTGCAATAGGCATCCATACCTTTGGGTCGATGGATGTTGGCGGCTCCACCTCGGGTGACCGAACACTTGGTTGCGTAGCCATGCGAGGCTTGAGGTTTTAAGGATTAGCGGCTTACTTCAACTGTTGGGCAGTTGAGTGAGAAAACAGCTGCTCTGGGCGTTCTGAAGATGCAGAGTTATTGGAGTTCAGTTTTGCTGACAGCGCGTGGCTACAGTACCCATTACGATCACGGATGGCATCAGAAGAAGAACCCTGGCGGAACAAGGCCTCATTTTGAGACACGATCAAGGACACTTTAAAGCCTTAGCTCGATATTCCTGCTCAAACACCTACTCCTGAGCAACAGAAAGCCTAGTCAGGTCCACGAAGCCAGGCTCATGCGGTGGTGGAAAAAACCTGAGCTGTACTCTTAAGGAATCGTCCTGACAAGTGTTTAGCCGCATCTCATATAAGATTCTCGCGCCCGGCCAAATCTCCCACAACTAGCAACATGCGGATGCCTTTCGGCTGTCTTGCTGGCTCCCTGAAGCAATTGGGTACACCGAGCAGGTGACAATGGGATCCTTGTCGTCATTCGGATTCCAGTTGACCACTGGGCTGCCCCAACCTTGTAGGGAAAAATGGGGGGATCGGCCATGTTGGCGAAGCTTGTAGGTAATTGGAGGCACATGTTTCCCTCCTGAACTTGAGGGGTCTGGAATTCGGAATTATCAGCGCAGACACGATTTCCCTTGAGGTCTATGGGCTACCCGCGCTAAAATGTGGTAGCTGCATGTAACTGCAATTTGCTTCAGCTAAATCCATCCTATAAATTATGCAGAACCCAGTGGCAAACAGAATTGCCAGAACTTTTCAGTTTGGAGACACAGAGCATGAGGGGCAAGCTTTGACGACTAAATTGTTTCTCCAAAGAATCTCCCACCTCAAACGGAACGAGATAACTATGATGGGTCTATTTGTTGTCTGGGCTACTGGTCATTGGAGAATTGGTGAGTGTGCTATCGTTTTCCAAGCTTCGGGGTACATGTTGACGCTATCGTTTTTGGTGAGTGTGTTATCTTTTTCCGATCAAGAACCCTCCCACCAAATTCGATGTCCTTCCTATGACCTTTAAAAAAAAACCGCGCGTCGGGCGTATCCATGTTGGGGGGGATCTCTCTGGACGGAAGCCCCGAGCATGCATCCCTTCAAGCCTGGAGCCCTGTTCCGAGACCTAAGCGCTGCAAGCGCAAAAATCCCGAGAACCCAAGATAAACCCTGACAGCAGCTGCGTTCTGCTTGGGGCCCAAGCTGGCTATCACGCAGCGGCTCTTATCCGGAAAGTCCAGGGGTACGCGTATCTGGCGCCAAGCTCTGTCAAGCTCTCGCAGGGCGTGGGGGAGTATCGCGAAAGGTCGGAAGGAAAAGGACCAGAAGTAATTACTTGTAATGTTCGCAGCAGTCGTGATATGAATTGCAGCAACAGTATCCGCAATGCTATTTGACACGCTGAAGAAGCGTGCTGCAGGATAAGTGTATGGCTTTGGGACCAAAGCTGATACCACATGAAAGTGACGAGGCTCGGAGTAAAAACATTAGTACAAATTACTCCTAAAAAGATAAACTACTCACGAGGAAAGGTCTTGCTCTAAGACGCTTAGGTCTGTGCGAGCGACTGCAGAAAATCCAATCAGGTTGAGCTAGGTTTCTACCTGAATGAGGTCTAAAGACATAACAATCAGGCGTCTGCGCCTCTACTATGCTAGTACCCCTAGAGTCAAAGCCCTTCAGCTCATCTTTTGTCAGTCCGGGCGAGGCAAATCACATAGCCGCGTCAGCTCATCCAACTCTTCCGCAGTCACGAGTCCTAGGATTTTGAGGTATTTCGGATGCCCGCACGTGATTGCATTTGTATGTCAGAATCAGGCAGATCTTCAGAGAATCTGAAAAAAGTACATTATGCTCAGATCGCTTCAAGTGGAGACCTCTGGAACTGCAGGGGTTCCAAGGATTCAAGCTGGGCGCTCCCCGACACGGCATCAGCCTAACTAATTCTGCCCTTGTGATTTCTGACCTTCAGACTGCGCATGTCACTACAAGTTCCTTTTGTTGCACTTGTTGGTGCTTTTTCTACCATGACCGGTGTCCCGTGTGGCAAACTTTGCCTTTGCCCTCTCGGTGTCAGTTGCGACAGGGTTCTACAGTAATTGCTACATGCTAACATGCCGTCCGTAGTGATGACCGTCGCGACGGGGAGATCGCTGTGCCTGCATAACCTTTCGCAAGCACAGCTATAAGCACTCCTTTCGTAACTGCTCTGCGGAGTTTTGGCTGTTCAGGAGGAGGTTGGTCGAAAGTGCAGCGTAGGCTGGGCGAATATCTGTTCATCACGTTCCACCTGCAGGATTACAAGCGCTAGGACTTAGGAAGTTTACTTAGGGGGCTCAGAACAACAAGCCGATTCTCTATAAAGCCCCAGCGCCTGACAGGACAAACATCCAAGTGCAAGCCAGCAGCGTGCTTGCCCACATTCAAGGCCTGAGAAAAGAGCAGCAGCCCCCAAGCTTGTGAAAGAAAGGCCTACTGCACGGCTAAGAGTTTGTATGGCATAGGGTTGTGATGTTGAGGCTTAAACATTGTTCCGGGGCATGGGCTAGGCTTCAAGGTTTCCAAGATTGCGGAGTCGAGGAGATTTACGTTTTGGTCCTCAATTTTGGGCCTCTGAGTCTCAGTGTTGCAACCACACCCTGAAGGTACCTTCAACCTTCCATTCAAGAGCATACGATCCACATCCTAGCTCCTCTGTCCAAGCGTTCAACAACCTCTGCACCCTGAAGCATTCCAATTTCTCTAAGCCATCAACCGCAAAAACCAGCCAGCTGCGCCTCGAAGCTGCAGCGGCCCTACAGCCACGCGATGAAGATGTACAAGCCGGAGGCCTGTAGGTTTCAGAACCTGGGGTCCTATAGTGCTTATGGTTGGGGGTGTTTACAGTTTTGCCTCAACACCTCAACAGCTTGAACATTGCTAGCAGGGGGAAGAGTGGATTCCTAGCCATGCGAATAAACAACCCCTTCATTCATTCCATAATAGCCAGGCAACAGCCCAGTTCTTGAATACGGGCTAGCGTCTGGGAGAATGTTCTCCGTGTGGGCTGGATACACGACGCAGGGGGAGAAGCTTGAATATAGAAGCCAAAATAAACTGTTGAGATTTGGTGCTCATTCAGGCACGATCGGTGTGCCTATGACCTACAACTCAGAAGGATGAGGGATGCAGAAAGCTTTCTTCAACTGCATTCAGGTAAAGGGTGTTGGATCTCTGCTGCTCATCACCGCCCCGACA